CGGGCTGGGGCGGCCTGCCCTGCGCGCGGCGCGGCCCGCTGGAGCGGGCGGCTTTGGGCCTTGTGAAGCTTTGAGAGACCCGGGGACAGCGGCCGCCCCTCGGTAAGGCTTGCTGAAAGGGGCGGCCTCCGCGAGCGGCGAGCCCTGCGGAGAACCCGCGCAGCGCCTCCGCGAGCGGCGAGCCCTGCGGAGAACCCGCGAGCGGCGAGCCCTGCGGAGAACCCGCGCAGCGCCTCCGCGAGCGGCGAGCTGGTTAACGGCCCCTCGCCACACACCTGTCACCAGCCTGCTGTAACAGCGAGAGAGAGACACGCTGTCCCAGGCAAGCCCTTTTCCCAGACTGGCAGCGTTCTGCTCACAGGCCGCTGCAGGAGGAGGTCAGCTAACTGAGGGAAGGGCAGCTGTGGACCAGGCCCTGCCCTTTGAACTCCATCTTCGCTCGCTGTAGGAAAGCGAACATTAATTCCTGGATGCTCTGAGGGGACCTAATGACAAGGTAAAGTGTGCCAGGATCACCTCCCTGCACACTGGAGCCAGTCTCCCCCGCAGCTTTCCTAGCTGCAGCTGAAGGATGAGTCCCGTTGAAGCATGTTCCTCACTGATTTCCCAACGGAAAGAGTGGCTTCGTCTTCCTCAAGGTCTTTGTCACGCTGTCGCTAGTGCAAGGGGATGGGGCTACTGCAAAACGTCTGAAGAGGACAAGCTGCCTTTTCATGTTACTTTTACTGAACAGTAACAGATTTGGACATAAGGTTTCATGGGTAAAAAAAACATTTCTTCAGATGTATCTGAAGTGGGTTTTTTACCCACAAAAGCCTATTCCCAAATAAATCAGTTAGTCTTAAAGGTGCCACCGGACTCCTTGTTTTTGTGGATACAGACAACACAGCTACCTCCTGATACTTTACTGAACATTGTGGGTAATGCATTTTTTCCTCATGGCTTTGTTCCTATGCCAAATGGAGGACACATTTAATAGTGGTGCAGCCAACATGCTTCCTGTCACTTTAATCACTGCACTAATCTCAGAGATCTCAGCACAGGGCTAGAAAAAAAAAGTTGAAAACCCCAAGCCTGATTCACTTAGAATCAGGCATATAATCCAACAGCCTAACTCCTCCCATCCTCTTGCAGGATCTAGAGAACAAACTGATGCAGCTTCCCAGAGTCTTATCTGAAACACAGTTGAGGGCCATCTTGTGGAGGAAATGCAGTCTCTACACACACTGTATGACAAGATACATATTGTGAAGTCATTTTAAGTACATAGGGCACAGCATGTGACTGGACAGCAGGAAGTGGCATCTTACTCCTCTCTATACTGCAACAGGTCTATTATGTTCTTTAATTCAGAGTTCACTCAAGCTTTGCCTGGACCCTGAGGATTCTCAGCACTCTCCAGTGAAATCCGCATCTCCACTACAGCAGGCACCCTGCCCCATTTTCCAGTCTCGCTACCTTCACTCTAAGGAGGATACCGCCCTGGCCTGCTCTCCCCATAATCCTTTCAAATACCATCTCCCCCACAATGCAGACAGTCTCAATATCTTCACCTACCTACTGCCTCTTTAGCAAAGCTGGTGTGGCAAAGGGTTTTCCACCTCATCACTACTGCGGCTTTGAAGATTGCTACTCTCGGTGGATATAGCAACAGAGAAGACAGGCCATAACAGGAGTGCCACCTAGAGCAGCAAGAGGCAGATGAGACTCTGAAGACATTCTCACCCCAATCTCTGGTATAGTGCCTGCCAAAAAAAAATCTAGGGAAACTCTGGAAGTTGGAATGTTTCCAAAGCATTAAATTCTCTAGCTGCATCATCATGATGTCATCATGTGGAACAGTCTCAAAGTTTGAAAAAAAATATAGAGTTTGGCACTGAATATCTTGAACTACCGTGGGCCATGTGTCTTCCTGGTTTTACCTATCCCTGAGATTGTAAGAGCACACAGGTGACTATGCAGAGCTTTCAGCATCTCATCCAATGATTCTTCCAAAGCAGATGTTGTAACCACATCATACCCGACAGCTGTGCTCATATTTTACCCAGGAACAGCCTAAACAAATCTGCTGCTATCAGCAGGCAAGAATTCAAGTGCACTCAGTAGCACCTTTTCTTATCAGATATGTTCAAAACAGACAGTCATTCAAATCATTCAACATGCAGCTGTTTCAGGACCCCACTGAACTCATGGGTTCTCTCCTTTTCCCAGAGTCTCGGCCACAGCAAATGGAGAATCTACAACAAGAGCATTTCCTGTACTGCCCCTGAGTCATACACAAAGGGAATGCTGAATAAGCCAGGCAACTATAGAAACCACTCCCCCTTCCCCCATGAAAAGGGAAGTGGAAGAAGGAAAGTGGGATATTCTACTCTCTTCCTGAAGGCAAATAAAAGTTCATAGAATATCAGGGTTGGAAGGGACCTCAGGAGGTCATCTAGTCCAACCCCCTGCGCAAAGCAGGACCAATTCCCAGTTAAATCATCCCAGCCAGGGCTTTGTCAAGCCTGACCTTAAAAACTTCTAAGGAAGGAGATTCTACCACCTCCCTAGGTAACACAAGTTGTAACAAAAACCAAATCAGAACAGTACAACCATCAGGAAATACTTCTTTTTGGGACAGGGTCCATGTCAGGTTGTACCACACCGGGCGTAATGAGGAGCTACTGGGAGCCTCAGGCTACTCGTGCCATTTAAGTTGCATGGTTATTCTGCAGCATCACTTTGTAAATCTAGGTACTTATACAGCCTCAGTTTCTATAGTGAGCAAACAAACAGGGAGAAAGTGGCAGAACCAGGAACTGAATCCAGATGTCTTGAGTCCAGGTCTCGTGCTTCAATTTTAATGCTATTCTACCACTCTATAGGGCACCTCCAACTCTTACAGGTGGAGTATCTTATTCAGATGGCACCCATCAGTTTTCATTCACAAACCTATTTTCCCTCTTTAAATTAACATATGATACAGAAAACATCTACCAGTTGTTGGGCAACTACAGTTAGCTATAAATATCCAACATTACTTATGCACTGGATAATTGTGTGCTTAACAGCACTGTTTCCATTAAAAGTCATCCCTGACTTCAGGAAGTTTGTGACTGCCATAAAAATGGTCACCTCTACTCCAGCAAAGGATCTTATTTCCATAACATCTTGCACGTTCTACTGCAATCTGCAACATAGGCACATTCCTATAATTTGACAAAAAGTCTTAAATTTGCTACGCAGGTGAAGTACAAACAGATAATAAGTGCTGTTAGTGAACTTTAAGCACCTACACTGCCAGAAGCTGGGAATGCGTTACAGGGTATGGATCACTTTAACCTGTTCTCTTAATTCCTTCTGGGGCACCTGGCATTGCCCATTGACGAAAGACAGGATACTTGGCTGGATGGATCTTTGGTCTGACCCAGTCTGGCTGTTCTTATCTTCTAACACTGACACTACAGACAAGCATGAGGGTTTCCCCCCCAAGAAACTATTCAGGCACATCAACACCTTGCTTATTAACAATCCTCCAAGTTTAGTGTGGAGACCATATCGTGTAAGCCAAAAAAGTCTCTCCATAGGGAATACAGGAGGTCTAAGCAGGTTCTCGTCACAAGCCTTATGACAAAGCAATGCCTCTGCTTCTTTCCCCCCTCAGTATATGTAACTTTTAAAAACCTGTCTTGGCAGTTCAGACCACAAGTAATAAGATCCAGTTCATGGGACAGCCACAGTTTCACCTCTTCCAATTCCAGAACTGTTCTGTATGGGGTACTTGGCATGGAGGTGTTATGGGCAAAAAATGAACACTACAGAACCATGCAAACCTGGATGCTGCTGCCATCGGCCAGTACCTAAAGACAGATACAATCAGCCAAGCCTACACATAACTAAAAGCCATTACTGTCACCCAAAACACCCAGGGCTATTTTCTACCAACTGGATTGAATAAAGTTCACTAGAAATTCCACCTAAGCACATGTGCTACAAAACCACAACCAAGACCTAAAAGCAGGATGTTAGGGGTGGGGAAAAAATTACCTCCCTCCCCTCTTGAATGTGAAATATTAATCCTAATTTAATACCCATTTTCCTCACCTACAGTAGTTATTTCAACAGTATATTTCATAACAAGATCAAGCCTGCACCCCTGCCACTATTCAATTTATACTACCAAAATAGGCTTTAGAAGAATAGGCATTGCCAAACCAAGTGTCTATTTCAGGGGGAGCCAACCTGAGCATGAGAAGGAGCCAAAATTTACCAATGTACATTGTCAAAGAGCCACAGTAATACATTAGCAGCCCTGTATCAGCTCCCCTCCCAGTGCTTCCTGCCCACTGGCAGCCCTGCCAATCAGCATCTCCCAATCAGCTGTTTCCTGACACCAGGAGGCTCTGGGGGAGAAGTGAGAGCATGGCAGGCTCAGGGGAGAGTGGGAAGGGGTAGAGTGGGGGCAAGGCCTGTGGCAGAGCCAGGGATTAAGCAGTGAGCACCCTCGGCACACTGGAGAGTTGGTGCCTGTAGCTCCAGCCCCAGAGTCGGTGCCTATACAAGGAGTCGCATATTAACTTCTGAAGAGCCTCATGTGACTCCAGAGCCATAGGGTGGCCATCCCGGTCTACTTAGTCCTATATCCTGTCTTTGACAGTGGCCAGTCCCAGATACATAAGTGCAAGAAATTCCCGTAGAAGGCAATTATGGAATAACCTGCCCATAAGGGAAATGTCTTCCCAGCTCTGAAACAGGAAGGTTTATTGTCCCTTCTTATCTAGCTGACCCCCATAAACCTATGTTCTTAGTCATTTAATCATCCAATATTTGAAACCCATTTTTATGCAGGAGATGAAAGGACATACACCTCCCTCCACAAAAATAAAAAGCCCTCCCATCCTCGGCATGGCAGTGTACATTCCCTGGATTCCAATAAGACTCTAGAATTTCAGGCTGTATTGACAGTGGGAATGAACAGAGTCATAAGCTCACCACACAGACTTCAACAAAAGGCAAGGTATGTCAGAATTTCATCTTGTTCATAAGCACGTTTCAGAAAATACAAGCCTTGTTTTTCCAAGACAATTCTAGGGAAGCTAGAGGTAGAACTGTGCAGCAGTCTCTCTGATCCACTTGCAGCAGAGCAGCAACCCTGCCTCTCACCATCCTGGGCTAGCAAGACGGACTCCCTCAGGCAGAAGAAGAGTGCTGCCTCTTCACTCGAGCAGCACGCCTCCCCTGAGCTCCAGCAGGCAGAAAGGAGAGAAGCCATCTGGTTCCCATGACTCTCTGAAGGGCCCGAGATGCTGTTAACAGGTGCCTCTTTCTCCACACTGCAGAGAGGTCACTTGCAAATTCCACGGCATGTAGTCAGGTACAGCCCAAAATAGGCTTTGGTGCTGCTCTCAGTTCAACAGCCTCAGCTTCCCAGTCACCTGATTCATTATTCCTTCTTCTCCGATAATGGCAAGGACAGTGTAGGATCCAGCTGGAATCTGCAGTGGAGAGATGAACATGCAATTGTGTCAACAGCAATTCAGATGGTAAACGTTCAATTTTGATTTAAAGACTTCAAGTGAAAGAGTCCACCATATCCATAAGTTGTTCCAATGATTAATTATCCTCACTGTTAAGAATTTGCACCTTTTGTAGTCTGAATTGTCTAGCTTCAGTTTCCAGCCATAGGATCTTGTCATGCCTTGGTCTGACAGGAGTCCTCCACCATCAGATCTTCTCCCTGTGTATGTACTTATAGATTGGGGTGGGCAAATTATGGCCTGCAGGTCTGGGGCTTGCCCCGCTCCAGCTGGGGAGCAGGGTTGGGGGCCACTCCACACGGAAGCGGCAGCATGGCCCCTCTCCGGCTCCTACACATAGGGGCAGCCAGGGGGCTCCATTCTGCCCCAAGTGCCGACCCTGCAGCTCCCATTTGCCAGGAATCCCAGCCAATGGGAGCTGCAGGGGCAGGGCCTGGGCCTGCAGATATGGCAGCACGCAGAGTCTCCCAGCCACGCTTCCACATAGGAGCCAGAGAAGGGACATGCTGCTGCTTCTGGGAGCCTCTTGAAGTAAGCGCCACTTAGAGTCTGCATTCCTGAGCCCCCTCCTGCCCTCCAAATCCCTTGATCCCAGCCTCGAGCACCCTGCTGCACCCCAAACCTCTCATCCCCAGCTCCCCCTCCAGAGCCCAGGCCCCAGCCCAGAGCCCCCTTCCACACCTTGAACTCCTCATTTCTGGCCCCACCCCGGAGCCTGCACCCCAACCCCAATTTTGTGAGCATTCATGGCCTACCATACAATTTCTATTCCCAGATGTGGCCCTCGGGCCAAAAAGTTTGCCCACCCCTGTTACAGATTGATCAAGTCACCTCAACTTCCTGGATAAGCTAAATAGATTTAGCTTTTTTAGTCAGGAAAGTACACACAATAAAAACTCAAATCGTTCTTGTGGATCTTCTTAGAACCCTTTCCAACATGTTTTTAGAGTGTTGGCACCAGAACTGGACATAGCATTTCAGTAATCTCCTTAATGTTGTATATAAAGTTAATACCACCTCCCTAATTCTACATCATCCAAGGGTAACATTAGCTCTCAACCACAACACTGCATTGGACCTCACATTCAGCTGATTTCCACCCTGATCCCTAAGTCACTATCAGGGTCAGTGCTTTCCAGGATGCAGTCCCCCAGCCTACAAGTGGGTCCAGCCAACCAGTCCGACATAGCTGGGGCTAACGGTTAAGGTTGGTTAATGGTAAGCCTAATGCTTACCGGTTAACCTTTTACATCCCTAGGATCTACATTCCTGGATCCTAGATGTATGACCTTGTGTTTGGCATGCTCACTCACAGGCACATACACTCTCCCCCTCAGTGATTACAGGTTACCGCATTGCAGTGTTCTGGAGCACTATTACTCCAGAAACTGCTAATTTATTGTCATTGCTATCAGTGTCTACTTTCCCCCTCTAATTTTTTTTAAATTTAATCACTTCTTTCAAATCCCTTAACTAGAACAGTTTAACTGAAGAATCATTTGATAATTGTTGAATGATGGGGTTTTTAAGACATCTAGTAAAGTTTTCTTAGAGTGACTTCCAATTATTATTCATATTGTTTTAAATTCTTCCTTCCAATTTTGCTCATAATTGTTTTCAAGCTTTGGGACATTGGCCCTTTTAAAGTGCCAAATGTATTGTATTAGTTACACACATGCACTCAATTCCTAACCTGGTTACCTGTGTCCTCCCTGCATCCTGCACCAGGTACGTTGGCAGCTCCAGGCTCAAAGCCAATGCTCGGAGATCCATCAGGTGGGCAGTGTTTGATCCTTGAACTACAACCTTCTTTGCACTAACAAGGAAAAAGCAAGTGATCAGAAAGAGCACCTACTGTCCTGCGACCTCTTATCACAGGCTGCTTGACTAGGGGAGCAGTGTACAAGCTAAGGAAGTCATTAGCCTAACAAAACAGTTAGAGATCCATCTCCCATTCATCTAGCAACTGCAAACCCATTTGCTTCAGATACGAGAATAGTTATTCTGAATTTATTAAGTTAAATGTCAGATAAATTATCTACAAGAGACACAAAAAACCCAGATCAGAAAGGCTCCTCCCCCTTTTGGCCCTTTTAACTACCAAGTAGAATGAGAACATTCTGATGTCGACTCACCTTTATCTGTTCAACCATTTCAGACAACTGCTTGAAGAACCATTTAGTGAGAATGCTAAATTAGTGACAGGGGAGATTAAGAGGGACAGCCAAGGAGAATCCAGTGTGAAAGCTCTGCTGCTACTGCCCCTCAAGCTTAGTCTTTGATATTGCCTGTTATTTCAATCCTTTACCCTCCCTCCCAACAAGGAAGCCTGACCAACATGAGTCAGAGTGCTCCACTTTGTCTCTGAATTTTACAACATATATTCAAAGGGATGCCTGGACACTTGTCTGTGAGGCATACATTACCATCTTACCCACATTCATCCCACTGGCAGATCATCTCCCTCCCAGTGGATTTTTCCTGTATTAACTGGTACAGGCCAACAGCTGCATGTCCAACCTGGGCTGCTATCTGTAAGGTGAAACATTACATCTGAATAGGGTGAGCCACTGAAGCCACTCCTCCCACTGGTGTGATAATAGGGGCACAAGTCCTCTGCATTCAAGTAAGGCCTTCAGCAGGAGGCAGTCCATCACCTTCCCAGATTTGAAGGGGAAAAGGACCCCAAACCTCTCATTGGCTGGCACCTAGCTCTTTTCACAGATGGCTCCGCAGTCTGGGCAGGGCGGGCGACCACCCCCTCCCCGCACCTTGGCCGGCCAGAATTTGGGCAGCTCGAAGCTTCCTCTGGGCCACCCCTGAACTTTACCTTCCCGACGCCCATGGCGAGCTCCATGTTCACCACAAACACCATCTTGTAGCAGCCGCCACCATCCGCCTGCTCCTGGAAAAGAAACCTGGGTGGAGGCCCCGGGCTCCGCGCGCGAGCGGGGGGGGGGGGGCGCCGCCGCCAGGACGGGGGCCCCGGGCTCCGCGCGCGAGCGGGGGGGGGGGCGCCGCCGCCAGGACGGGGGCCCCGGGCTCCGCGCGCGAGCGGGGGGGGGGCCGCCGCCAGGACGGGGGCCCCGGGCTCCGCGCGCGAGCGGGGGGGGGCCGCCGCCAGGACGGGGGCCCCGGGCTCCGCGCGCGAGCGGGGGGGGGGGCGCCGCCGCCAGGACGGGGGCCCCGGGCTCCTACCTGCCTCTCCAGGCCGCCGAAGTAGAGCTGCGCCGCAGCCTCCGCGGACACATTCCCGGTCAGGGCCAGCGCCTACAGGGCGGAGAGAGCGCGGCGTGAGGCGAGGCGAGGCCAGGCCAGGCCAGGCCAGGCCATCCCCGGCTCACCCGGCAGGGGTCACCCCGGCTCACCTGTCGCGCCGCCGCCTCAGGCACCCCCAGCTCCCGCAACGGCCCCAGCAGCGCCTCATCGGCCTCCATCCCACCACGTGACTTGCAGCCGCTCCGCTCCGCTCCGCTATTGGCTGCGCCCGCCGTAGCCAGCCCAATCCGATTTGTTCCTCGCTTCCATGTGATTCCCGGCCACGCCCACACCCCGGCAAGGAATGCCCCCGTCATCCCCTCCGCGACCCAACGTCCCCCGCGCCACGCCCCTCGTCTCTGCGCCCCGCCTCCAGCCGCTCTGCAGGGCCAGGGCCGCTCACCCCCGCCCCGGCCGCCCCAGCCAGGCCACGTGCCCCACCGTTCCCCCACTGCCCCCCCCGCCGGGCCAGACAGCCCTGCCCCGCCCCCAGCAACCGGCACGGGCTCAGCGGGCACCCGCGGTACTGTGGCGCGGACCCCCACGTCTGAGCTGGGGCGAAGAGACACTGCGCCCACATGAATTTGACCCACAAGTGCATTCACAGACTCGGAAAAGGAAAAGGAGTACTTACCCCGCACCTTAGAGACTAACCAGTGTATTTGTCTCCAAGGTGCCCCAAGTCCTCCTTTTCTTTTTGCGAATACAGACTAACACGGCTGCCCCTCTGAAACCTGCCATGGAATCACAAAATCTCAGGGTTGGAAGGGACCTCAGGAGGTCACCTAGTCCAACCCCCTGCTCGAAGCAGGACCAACCCCAACTAAATCATCCCAGCCAGGGCTTTGTCAAACCTGACCTTAAAAACCTCTAAGGAAGGAGATTCTACCACCTCCCTAGGTAACGCATTCCAGTGTTTCACCACCCTCCTAGTGAAAAAGTTTTTCCTAATATCCAACCTAAACCTCCCCCACTGTAACTTGAGACCATTACTCCTCGTTCTGTCATCCGCTGCCACTGAGAACAGTCTAGATCCATCCTCTTTGGAACCCCCTTTCAGGTAGTTGAAAGCAGCTATCAAATCTCCCCTCATTCTTCTCTTCCGCAGACTAAACAATTCCAGTTCTCTCAGCCTCTCCTCATAAGTCATGTGCTCCAGTCCCCTAATCATTTTTGTTGCCCTCCACTGGACTCTTTCCAATTTTTCCACATCCTTCTTGTAGTGTGGGGCCCAAAACTGGACATAGTACTCCAGATGAGGCCTCACCAATGTCGAATAGAGGGGAACGATCACGTCCCTCGATCTGCTCGCTATGCCCCTACTTATACATCCCAAAATGCCATTGGCCTTCTTGGCAACAAGGGCACACTGTTGACTCACATCCAGCTTCTCGTCCACTGTCACCCCTAGGTCCTTTTCTGCCGAACTGCTGCCGGGCTATTCGGTCCCTAGTCTGTAGCAGTGCGTTGGATTCTTCCGTCCTAAGTGCAGGACTCTGCACTTGTCCTTGTTGAACCTCATCAGATTTCTTTTGGCCCAATCCTCTAATTTGACCTCTGCGTTATAATGCTCAGACACATAATTAGCATGTGGAATTCAGTCACAGGATATAATTGAAGACAGAATTCAGAAAGATATTGAATAATTATATGGATAACATGAACATTCGCAATTACATTAAACAGGATTAAAAAGGCATAGTCTGTAAACCCTGAAGCCTCAGGCCATGAACCAGCTGCCAACAAAACAGGTTTACGAAGAAATTGCCCCTAGGGGGAGGCTGCTGCATAATTGTCCCTTATGAGGTTTCATTCACCTCTCTCTGCAACATGAAGTACTGGCCAATGTCTGAGAAAGGATGCTACTTTAGACAGACCACTCAGAGGAATTGCCAAACTTAATCCAGGGTCCCTCTGTATTTAGTGTGTTTACCCCTCAATTCCCAAAACCCATCAAAGTGTGGTATTTGCATATACTTACAAACCATTCAGGAATAAAGGGATTAATTAAACTGAAGCCTTTTCAGAATTAGGCCTGCTTAAGATAAAGAACATACAAATATAAAGATGAGATACTGCAGCTAAAACAGCTGGAATATCCTTTGATGCAGGATCCAACTGAGAAAGCTTCAGCAAATGCAATGGTACCTGGATGGCCAGTGAGACAGAAGCATCCACATATGTGGTAACTGGGCTGTGGAAATGGCATCAGGGAGGCCAGTACTGGGATCAGATAAGGGGAGAGAAGGTAGTTCTCTTCTCCTCCCCATCCTACCTGTAATCCCAGAGGAGCTGAGTAATATTGATAAAATGATCAGCATGGAAATAGTTAACAGTGTTAACATGCAACTCACCATCATTAGAGTCAGAGTTAACACCCATCATCAAAATGTACTAGATCACCGGTTCTCAAACTTTAGCACCCAAGGACCCCAATTTTAATTTAAAATTTTTCACAGACCCCCAAGCTGGCTTCTAATTTTCCCCAGGGTGCTCAACCCCAGCCCAGCCCCAAGCCCCACCCCTACCCTTCCCCCAAGTCCCCCCCCCCCCATCTTCATACCCGCACCCCTCCTCTTCCCTGCCTCTTTCCACCCCATCCCCCAAGTGAGCCCCATCCCCGCTCCTCCCCTTCCCTCCCAGCACCTCCTGCACACCACTGAACAGCTGTTCTGCGGCCTGCAGGAGGTACTGGGAGGAATGGGGAGGAGATGATTGGCGGGGCTGGCGGTCCTGGACATGACTCGCGGACTCCAGTTTGAGAACTGCTGTATTAGATAGTTCACACTAAAAGACTTGTGGGTCCCCTCTCTTCCTCATTCCTGCCCCAGGCAAAAGTCAAGCAAAGGGGCTTTTCTCACAGAATTTAAGATTTGAGGGGAAAGAAATCCTTCCCAAAGCCTGGCAGCTTCTCCAAATCTAGAGTAACTGATGGAGCCCATGAACATTCCCTACTTGGTTAGGGGGCTAGGCCTAAAGATCTGCTTCCAGCAGTACCACTGTCGGCCCATGAAACCGCTTTATGGAGCCTCCTCACACTGCCTGTACTCTGATTCAGAGAAACTACAGTGGTTCCAGTGTGCTTAGCTCTTCTATACCTGCTGAGAGAGAAGGCTACAGCATTAGCTATTTGTGTCTTTCTACATTCAGCAGGCAGCAGGCTAGAGATCTCTGCACAGAGGACTAGAAACCTAACTTTTCTTTTAATGGAAGTCTAGCTTCTGCAGAAATCAATATGGAAGTTGAGTTATGCCATCTCCATAGACAGATTGGTGGCAGGTTCATAGATGTGGCAATAAATGGGAAAGTAATGGAGTAAAAGCACCTAGGTTCAGGAACAGAGGCGATGGATCCATAGGAACAGATGACAAGCTGCTGAGGAAAGAGCGTGAGACTCAATCAGGCTGCTTGGATTATGGTGTTAGGGAAATGGAGCCTGGTGAAGGACAGGAACACAGTGAGAGAAAGGCTGCCAATGCTTGAATTCCACTATGAATTCTATGGCCTGCATCTTCAACAGATTTGCCATCTGGTAGAGTTCTATGTCCTGTGGAATATTTTCTGTGTTCCATCTCCAGAGAAGGAGTCACAAGGCTGATCTGGACACTGGTTACTCAGCCATGGGTGTTGAAGGCATTTCAGTGCTGTTGTCCGTTTGGCTGGTATGTATTCCAGCATTGGCAGAAGGAAGCTAGTAAATGGAGCAGCCTCATGCTTTGTCCAGTTGTATCTGTCCATTAGGGTGTTGTACAGACTGCAGGGGAAAAGCCTGGAAATCCGTAGGAGAGCACCTACCAAAGACGACATAAACACAATACTTCACCATTGAGTATAAAAACCTCCTAAATCCCTCTCCTCTTGCTGCTTTCTTACACACCACCTCCTCCTGGATTCTCCCTGTACCACCTTAAATAATTCTCCTGCTCTTCACTCTTTATACTTATTCGATACCTGTAAGGTGCCACCTGTCAGCCAGTTGTGCTGATCTTTGAACTCCCCCCAGTATGTCAAGATTGCTCTGGTGATAATATGCCCAAAAGTGAATTAAATATTTTAAATGCAGTCACACCAGGGGCCATAAAGTCAGAGACCATCACCTCCCTGCTCCGTGACGCCTCTGTGAATGCAGCCCAAAAATGCACTGGCCCTTTTTTGTTGCCATATCTCACTGCAAACTCATGTATAATTTCTTTATTATGATTATTGCTTTTACAGGCCCAGAAGTCTGGTAGACACTTAACAGAAGACAGAAGACACAATCCTTGCCTAAAGAGCATGCAGTAAGTCAGGTTAGGCATGGGCAGTACCCAATGGGTCAGTTAAATTTACAAATATACACAATTAATGAGAAAAATATAAATAATGACTATCTTTTGACTCAGTTCTTGTTGGCACCATGGAAGGAAAAAAATGGTTACCTACCTTTTCGTAACTGTTGTTCTTCAAGATGTTTTGCTCATGTCTATTCCATTCTAGGTGTGCATGTGCCCATGTGCGCAGTTGTTGGAGATTTTTGCCTTAGTGGTATCTGTAGGGTCAGCAGCTAAGTTCACTGTAAGCTGCGCAGCCGCAACCTACTTAGCACCATGTAGATGCTCAAAGAACCTCCACGGGGACCTGCCGCAGCCGGGGGAGGGACGCCCCTTCCCCAGCCTCCACCTAGCCCGGCTGCCAACCTGCCGCAGCCGGTGGACCCCTCCCCCGGCACCAACTCTGCTGAGGCCCTGACCTGCCGCGGCCAGGGCAGCTCAGCCCGGCCTGGGATCCAGGTGCAGCCGGGGAGGCCCCTGCACCCAATCCCCAGCCCTGAGCCCCTCATGCCCGGCCCCACCCCAGAGCCCACACCCCCAGCCGGAGCACTCACACACCTGCACCCCAACCCTCTGTCACACATCACCTCCATAGCACATAAAATTCATTTCACACATGGGTGGGGAAAAATTAGAGGGAACACTAGTTGGCAGTGGTGCCCCCGTGAGTACTGTATATCATGCGCTGGCCCTATACCCCCTCATTTCTTTCTTGCAACTCCAACAGAGGGGCAGGAGGGCGGGTAATGGAATGGACATGAGCAACACATCTTGAAGAACAACAGTTACCAAAAGGTAGGTAACCTTTTTTTCTTCTTCAAGTGCTTGCTCATGTCGATTCCATTCTAGGTGACTCACAAGCAGTGCCAATGGAGATGGGCTCAGGATTCATGGTCTTGCAGCTTGCAGCACTGCTCTGCCAAAGCCAGCAGCGTCCTGGGCCTGCTGGGTAAGCGCACAATGGAATGTAAATGTGTGGACAGACAACCAGGTAGCAGCTCTATAGATCTCTAAGATGGGCACCTGAGCCAAGAAGGTCACTGATGACAATTGCACTCTAGTTGAGTGCGCTATGACTATTGCCAGTGAAGGCACATTCGCTAGCTCGTAGCATTAGCGGATGCAGGCTGTGATTCAGGATGAAATTCTTTGAGCAGACACTGGTCAACCTTTCATCCTGTCTTCCCCTGCAATGAACAGCTGCGTTGACTTGCGAAACAGCCTCGTCCTGTCAATATAGAAGGCCAGCACCCTCCCGACATCCAGGGTGTGCAACCTGCATTCCTTTTCCGATTTATGAGGCTTCAGGAAGAAGACAGGCAAATATATGTCCGGGCCAGTATGAACTGGAAAACTATCTTGCACAGGAACGCTGAGTTCAGTCGCAGCTGGACCTTATTCTAGTAGAATATGTTGGGCGGTTCTAAAATAAGAGCCCTGATCTCAGACACCCTGTGAGCAGACTTTACTGCATCTTCCAGGAGAGAAAGAGAAGAGAGCAGGAAGCCAGAGGTTCAAAGAGAGACCCCATGAGTCTCGACAGCATGAGATTCAAGTCCCAAGAAGGACAAGCTCCCGGATGCGAGGTGTGACAAAGTTCCTCCCCTGCCTTGGTGGGTCCTCTGCTTATTGGCGGGTTTGCTCGCCTCAGAGGTTCATGGCAGCCCTCAGTTTGGCCACTTTCATGGCTCAAAACTGCCCTTCACTCAGTTAGCCTCATCACTGGCCAGCATGGGGAAAGGAAGAACAATCCCCGCAGTCTCTGCTGATCCACCTAGTGGATCGGGGAACAGGCCAGAGACTTTCACCTCTGGTGGAATCCACAGTCCATTTCAACTCCTCTGGTATCAAGTAGGGAGTTGAGGGGATGGGGGGAACCCGGGCCCACCCTCTACTGCGGGTTCCAGCCCAGGGCCCTGTGGATTGCAGCTGTCTACGGTGGCTCCTGTAACAGCTGCGTGACAGCTACAACTCCCTGGGGTACTTCCCCATGGCCTCCTCCCGACACCTTCTTTATTCTCACCACAGGACCTTCCTCCTGATGTCTGATAATGCTTGTACTTCTCAGTCTTCCAGTAGTACGCCTTCTCCCTCTCAGCTTCTTGCACCTCTTGATCCCAGCTCCTCGCATGCGCCTCAAACTGAAGTGAACTCCTTTTTAAACCCAGGGTGCCCTGATTAGCCTGCCTTAATTGATTCTAGCAGCTTCTTGATTGACTGCAGGTGTTCTAATCCGCCTGTCTGCCTTAATTGTTTCCAGAAAGTTCCTTACCCAGGGAAAAGGGACCTACTTAACCTGGGGCTAATATATCTGCCTTCTATCACTCTCCTGTAGCCATCTGGCCCGACCCTGTCACAGAGGGCAGAGACACTCCAGACCTTTCAAAAACCGGGCTGTCATGTCATGAGCGAAGACCGACCTGCCTTGGAACGGAGGGTGGAAAGCCAAAATAGTGGCCAGGTGGACCCTGACTGATGACAGGGACAAGCCCTGGAGTTTGAGGTACAGAAGATATTCCAGAATAACCTGCAGCAAGGCCTGCTCAGCCTGGATGCGTCGTTCTGAAGCCCAACACATGAACCTTTTCCACTTGGCCAAGTAAGTAGCTCTGGTGGAGGGTTTTCTGCTACCCAACAAAGCCTGTTGAACCTGGGCCGAGCATTCCCACTCTTCCGCATTCAGCCATGCAGTAGCCATGCTGTCAAGTACAACACCACCAGGTTTGGGAGCAGAAGACTGCCATGGTTCTGGGGCAGCAGGTCCAGCCAGAAAGGTAGCCGCACTGGGGCAGCTACCACAAGGTCCAGCAGTGTGCCGAATCAGTGCTGGCGAAGCCACTTGGGGGCCATCAGGATAACCTTTGCCCTGTACTGTTTGATCTTCAGGAGGACTCTGTGGATCAATGGCACTGGCAGGAAAGCATACATCAGGGCCCTTGACCACAGGAGCAGGAAAGCATCTGACAGGGAACCCCATCCATGCCCCAGAGTGAACAGAACATGTGGCATTTCCTGTTCTGACGGGACGCGAACAAGTCCACTGGAGGGAGTTCTCCACTTCCGGAAGATCATACTGGCAGCCTCCAGATGGAGCGATCACTCGTGGTGAGACGAGAAGGTCCTGTTGAGGCTATCAGCAAACACATTCCTGCTCCTGGGCAGATGTGCAGCTACCAGATGAATGGCCTGCCACTCAAAGAAGTCCCAAAGGCTGGGAGCTTCTTGTCAAAGGCCTGGCTTTGCCCTGCCTCTTGATGTAATACATCGTGGCAGTATTGTCTGTCAGGACTTGCACCACCTTGCCCCTGAGCTGCCTGACCTTGATGTGGAGGGCCAGATCGTCTCGCAGCTGGTGGCCTTGAGTGCTGAGTTTGCCCAGGGGGGCTCCCCAGCCCAGGTCCGAAGCATTGGAGACCAGGGTCAGTAAAGGGGACACAGCTGTGAAGGGAACTCCCTGCAACACCAACCTGGGGCTCATCCACCATTCCAGGGACAATAGGATGTGATCCGGCACCCTGACTACCCAGTCTAGGTCATGCCCATTGGGGATGTAAACCAACACCAGCCACACTTGCAGAGGCTGGAGGTGGAGCCGGGCACGACTGACTACATATATACAGGCGGCCATGTGGCCCAACAACCGTGGGCAGCTATGAGCCATGGTGAGCGGGTGGTTCTTCACATGGGAGATCAGGTCCTACATGGCCTGAAAACATGCCTCTGGAAGGAAGGCTCTGGCTCACGTGGAGTTGAGAACCGCCCCTATGAACTCTATGCGCTGGACTGGCCTTAAGGTGGATTTTTTCTCATTTACCAGCAGGCCCAGGTCATGGCAGATCAAGGCTTCTCTGCACTTGTTCCTGAGACCTGCCCTTGATAAGCCCGTTATTGAGATATGTGAAGACCTGGACCCCTCAACATCTCAGGTAAGCGTCCACTGGCGCCATACATTTTGTGAAGACCCTTGGGGCCGATGAGAGGCCAAAGGGGAGCGCAGTAAATTGGAAATGGCGTCCGCCCACTATAAAACAGACGAAATGCCTGAGACCTTGGAATATGGAAATAACCATCCTTCAGGTCAAGGGAGGCATATCAGTCTCCTGGATCCAGGGAGGCGATGATGGAGGCCAGGGAAACCATGCAAAACTTCAACTTCTTGAGAGACTTGCTGAGGCACTGCAGGTCCAAAATGGGTCTGAGGCCCCCTTTTGCTTTCAGGATGAGGAAGTAGTGGGAGTGGAACCCCTTTCCTGTCATGTCCTGAGGGATCTCCTCCACTGCCCCCAGGCACAGGGGGTTCTCGACTCACAAACAAGGAGTTGCTCATGAGAAGGGTCCCTGAAGAGGGATGGGAAGGAGGGGAGGTGAGAGGGAGGGGTAGCCGAAAACTGCAGGGTGTATCCTTTGACACTGTGTCCAGCACCCAGCGGTCTGAGGTGACCCATGCCCAGGCGAGTGCTAGGGACGAAGTCAGTTGAGGAAAGAATGGGATGGATCCTGGGAGTTGACTGGGACATCGCTCTTGAGCGCCCTCTTGAAATGAGTGCTTCCGACCCCTGAGATGCTTTGCTGGGGTGGACTGTGCAGGCAAGTGGGAGGAGGAAGGACGGCGGCAGCAGTTGAAACTTATGTCCACATCCCTTCTCCTTGCAGGCCCTGGACGGGCTGCCAAAAGGCATGCCTCATGCACTGACCTAGCCCGGTGCCGTCAGTGCCACCAACTGTTGCTCCAAGGCGGCGGCAGATGCGCGGTGCAAAGAGGGCGTCAACATGACCGGCACTCCCCACGTGCTCCAATAAGGCCACTGCACTGGCCACTGGCCGTGCTGCCAAGGTGCTGCCATCGATGTCGATGCGGCCTCAGGTGCCCAATTGCACCGGTGGAGTTTAGGTGAGGGGCTGAACTGCTCTTCCATGCCAGTGGAATCCCCTTCCAGTGACCGTGATGGGGCTGTCGACGCCTGAATCTGCCTGCTGACTGTCGCTGCTGGAGACCAGTGCCTGGAGTGAGAGGATCAGTGCCATTATCGAGGGGACCGGTGCCGGGGGACCAGAGCTGTGACGGGGAGTGCTCCCACAGGGCAGGCGACGGAGATCTGTGCCGAGAGGATGACCGTCGGGAGGACAAATGGTGCTGGTAGTATGGAGACAGGCGCTTCCCTCTAGGCAATCCGCCTCGAGACAGCAGGGACTGCGATTGCAGCGCCGGGGACCGAGGGTGAGCCTGAGAGGATCCGGGCTGTGACTCCAGTGATCTGCAGCATGGAGGTAGAGAGCACTGTCTTGTCTCGAGGGATCAGTGGCGCTCCAATGCCCCTTGAGGGGTCTTAGCGACTGGCTTGCCCTCATAGGGAACCTTTGCCCTTCCTCTGGCACATGCTGTGTTGGCGGCACGGGTAGAGGCTGTGCTCTCTCGGCTCTTGGGAAGGAGTCAATCCCGTCAGGAGTTTGGGTCCCATACCACTTTCGGGAGTCGGTGGTTGATCCTTCAAGGGGCTAAAGGCCCCGACCAGGGAGACACGTCCACATGGCTCTGGAGTGGCTGGGCAGCCTGAACTGGGTCCTTTGCCCGATGTCCCATGGCCCTTCTTGTCTGGTGCCAGGGAACCATGCTTCCTTGCTTTCTTTTTGGGAACAGGCGGTAGGGAGCGGTGCCAGGTGGAGCTCACGGCTGGGGGTGTGCTGTGACCGAGACCAAGGGGAGTCTCGGTGGGACAGCTTGGAATCTGGATGAAGGGCACATCTCCATGAGGAGAGCCTGCAAATGAATATCCTGCTCCCTCTGAGTCCTGGGCTGAAAGTTTTTACAAATACAGCACTTGTTCTTCACTTGTGATTCCCCCAAACAGTTGAGGCAGCTGCTGTGGGGATCACTTCCTGGCCTAGGCCTGTTTCAGTCCGCACAGGGCTTAAACCCAGAGACCGGGGCATACCCCGCCTGGGGGGACTCTAACTGCTAACTACTTAACTACACTTAACAAGTACTTAGCACTAACTACGATAAACGACTGGTCTCGTTAGAGCTGGTATGGCAGCCCCCGTTTTTTCATGGTGTGTGTGCGCGTGCGCGTGTGCGTGTGTGCGCGTGTGCGTGTGCGCGCGCGTGCGTGTGTGCGCGTGCGCGTGCGCGCGTGTGCGTGTGTGTGCGCGCCCGCGTGTGCGTGTGCGCGTGTGCGTGTGTGCGTGTGCGCGCCCGCGTATGCGTGTGCGCGTGTGCGTGTGTGCGTGTGCGCATGTGCGCGTGTGTGCGCGCGCGTGTGTGCGCGCGCGTGTGTGCGTGCGCGTGTGCGTGTGTGCGTGTGTGCGTGTCTTCCTACTGTATTTTCCACTACATGCGTCTGATGAAGTGGGCTTTAGCCCACAAAAGCTCATGCTCAAATAAATTGGTTAGTCTCTAAGGTGCCGCAAGTCCTCCTCGTTCTTTCTACTATAAACAAACTATTTACAAGGCCTTAAGACTCAAGTCAGTAGAGAGGAAACTGCTAACCCTTGTGATGCAATGAAAGGTTCTCCAACTAACCACCACAGGAGCAACCGAGAGGGCGTAGGGCCGGTGGCGCCTGATATACTAACGCATGAGCATGGCACTCAAGGGAGCGCCACTGCTGACCCTAAGGATACTGCTACGGCAAAAATCTCTGACGACCACACACACCTAGAAAGGAATCGACATGAGCAAGCATTCGAAGGAGAATGAGCCTTCAAGAGGGACCTGAATGAGCTGGGAGGGGATTGTCAGACCAATATTTGGAGGTTCTCCCAGGTATGGGAGCATGATAGAGCACTAAAAAGGCACAGAAATGGTAGTGAGAGAAAAATATTAGTGGCAGGTCCTTTGAGGCTGTTTCTCTGGCTGAGTGGAGAAAGGAACATAGTAAGAGACTAAGTGGGAAAGTGGGGAGGGACAGTGTTAGGTAGGGCCTTGGAGTCAAGGACAAAATGTTTAAACTTGATGAGCCAAAGGAGAGGCAGCAAAGAGATTCAAACAGAGGAGAGGGCGCATTTTAGACAGACTGGGCTGGAGGCAAAGGGGGCGGAGCTGGGAAGAGAATGTGCTTGTCCTCTCTCAGCATAATTCCTGAATTTCAGGCTTCTGCCAGCTTGACTCTCATTTAATTATTTTCATCCCGTTTCTACTCTCTCTCTCACTGGACTAAGAAACTGCTACCAACTTTAGAATTTTGTACAGGCATCCATCTCCTGAGTAACTCTCCAGTCAATAGGTTGGCATAGCAAGGTCCTAGAGGACTTCATGGAGTCTTCAGCTCTCCTCCCTGATAACAGAGAGCTTTGCTTAAGATAGCTTTTTGTTTGTTTTTCAAAGAGCAAGTTATTTAGGGGTGGGCCAGAGATCTGCACCCTTCTGCACAGGTGGCGACTTTCCATTGTGCCGGGGGGTTCTTGACCCCTGGTTCTGCCCTAGGCCCCACCCCCACTCCACCCCTGTCTCCAAGGCCACACCTCTGCCCTGCCCCACATCTTCGCACCCCTGCTGTGACTCTTCCTGCCCCGTTCCATCCCTCCCTCGAATGTGCCATGTCCTTGCTCCTCCCCTTCCTCCTTCCAGCCTCCTGCATGCTGCAAAACAGCTGATTGCAGCAGGCAGGTGGGAGGGGGAAGTGCTGATTGGCAGGACCCACTGGTGGGCAGGAGGGACTGATACGAATAGGGCACTGGGGGGAAAGGGAGGTGGGGGATAGGGAGCCTGTCGGTGGGTGCTCAGCACCCACCATTTTTTTCCCATGGGTGCTCCAGCCCTGGAGCACCCACGGAGTCAGCGCCTCTGCCTCTCTGGGTAACTCCCCAGCTCCTATTTTCACCTTGTCCGCTGAAGAATTTTGATGACTGTTTCCAGGAGAAAGCAATTTTAGGAGGAATTCTTCCCAGGAGTTCAATGATACGAGCAACATGATCTAGAGAGAGAGAGAGAATGGGGGAAAATGAGAAGCTGGATATTTAGATTTTATGACCATGTCATCAATAAAGTCACTGAAGATGACAGAATCCTACCATCATCTCTGGAGAAATATTTCCCAGCCTGGGGTTCAAAAAGGAGGTTGCCGGTCGCCATTTCAAATGCCTGGAAATGAAATAGCCTATTAATCCAACTCAGTGCCCAAGCCAGACAGTCAAGAGAGTCATTCTTCACCAGTCCCTCCACTCCCTCAGCACCACCCCGTTCTTCACTTCTCCAATACTCCATGACACAGGAATGTTCCCAAGATAAGGAAACACCTGCAGGTGCTCTGCCACCACAGACATCACATTCCCCTTTGCCTGGGTAAATCTCAGTGTGTATCTGGTTCAGTTTGACATATGTTAGGTTCCATATATAGGATATTAAATTGCCTTGTAATCAATATAGGGACAAGAAAATTAAGAGGAGGTTTATCTGCAGTACAACTTTGAACAGAAGTTGGTATTTGCAGAGTGCCTATTTTTAATAACATGACTTCTTCAGACAAGATTTTTCTTACTCCCAAATGCAATAAGATAAATTGATGGCTGCAGACAGATATTTTCGCAGGGTTGCTGGTGTGTCATTCATGTTCACATCTGTGGTAAACTGCAGTCACCATGTCCATTGGGCTGAGAGTCCCTACCAGGCAGGCTGTGCTCCAGATATCTGCAGGAGTGCTGTAATCTAACCCAAGAAGAACTTCCAGGGCTCGGTATGGCTGGGTCTGGATCTCTTTGGAAAGGGGCTTGTACTGCAACAGAAAGGACAGACTATGGCTAGTGGTTCACAACTGATTAAAAACAAAGAAAATCACAGCAAAGTCCAGGACACAGTGGGACAGACCATGGATGGAACATGCTGAATGCACATACCCAATCTCATGCAGGATACAGCAGATCTATATTCTGAACCCCACAACACCTGGTGTGATTTCCCTTCATTCTCTTCATGATTAGACATTTCTACTTGATTGACATTGTTTGACATTCCTAGCTGTAGAAGCTAACTGTATGCACATACAAGCTTGTCCAAAGCTTGCAGCATGACCCAGAGTATAGAGCTCAGCTCTGAGCTGGGAGTGCAGAGGACAAACACACACATTACAAGATGAAATCACTCTCTCTTTCACAGCACACGCTGCAATAAAACTTTTCAAGGAGATGTACAGTGATGGACAGACACCAAGATCAGAGTCAGAAAAGAGAGAACAGGCTCCTTTATCATGGGGGGGGTGAGAGTTGAAACTGACTCACGGTCCAGCATGCGCTGCCTAGGTCTGCAATTTTCACTCCCATTTTCATTATATTGTAATGATCCAATTGATTGGCAAGAATTCCTGAATGAGGAAAAACAGAGCTTAAATCCACAACTTTGCTAGATACAATAAATCATGGTTTTAAGACAGACACTGGATTTATGGTTTATTACAACAATCTGTAACCCACTAATCCCCCTTTTGTCCTATGACTCAGACCCTATGAAGGCCACTTCACCTTAAATGATCCCTCAGCATATGTGCTAAGCACGAAAGCTAAACTATCTGATTGATCTTGTATTTAGCTGTGACTCCCTGAGTACCTTTCCCAGACCTGAGGAAGAGCTCTGTGTAGCTCCAAAGCTTGTCTCTCTCACCAACAGAAGTCAGACCAATAAAAGATATTACCTCATCACCCTTGTCTCTCTGTCTCCAAACTAACAGGTATCTCATTCAACACAGATCATTCATGTATGTTTTTGCCTTTATCTAATGTCTTTCAGCCCAAAGGATCCTTTACAGAGAGGTGATTCCTCTTTACCTACCACTGAAACTTCTATGTGCTTAGGAGAGGACACGAAGAAGAATCTGGTATCCAGTTAGATCGGCAAGAGGATTTTAAAAGAACAGCCTGTCATTGTCTGAAGTGGAGCATTGGGGTCAGCACCAACTGAGAGGGAAGAGTGCCCCCTACTCAGTCACTCACCCACTCTGCATCACAGTGCCCTTACCACCAAGCTGGGGCACTGGGGCCAACACTGACTCAGGAAAGAGCACTCCCTCCTAAGTCCCTCAGACCAGAGCCATAGCACTCGCTTTTCTCCTCTGACAATATCAGCAAAAGGAAATATGACCCCTCCAGGGTACTGACTTCAGAGCAGATTCTGTCTGCCAGACAATTGAAAGGCGACCAGCTACCTTTTCACAGAATCATAGAATATCAGGGTTGGAAGAGACCTCAGGAGGCCATCTAGTCCAACCTCTTGCTCAAAGCAGGACAAACCCCCAACTAAATCATCCCAGCCAGGGCTCTGTCAACCCAGGCCTTAAAAACCTCTAAGGATGGAGATTCCACAGTGCTTCACCACCGTCCTAGTGAAATAGTGTTTCCTAATATCCAACCTAGACCTCGCCCACTGCAACTTGAGACCATTACTCCTCGTTCTGTCATCTGCCGCCACTGAGAACAGCTGAGCTCCATCTTCTTTGGAACCCCCCCTTCAGGTAATTGAAGGCTGCTATCAAATCCCCCCTCACGCTTCTCTTCTGCAGACTAAATAACCCCAGTTCCCTCAGTCTCTCCTCATAAGTCATGTGCCCCAGCCCCCTAATCATTTTCGTTGCTCACAGCTGGACTCTCTCCAATTTGTCCACATCCCTTCTGTAGTGGGGGGACCAAAACTGGACACAATACTCCAAGTGTGGCCTCACCAGTGCCGAATAGAGGGGAATAATCACTTCCCTCGATCTGCTGGCAATGCTCCTACTAATACAGCCCAATATGCGGTTGGCCTTCTTGGCAACAAGGGCACACTGCTGACTCATATCCAGCTTCTTGTCCACTGTAATCCCCAGGTCCTTTTCTGCAGAACTGCTGCTTAGCCAGTCGGTCCCCAGCCTGTAGCGGTGCATGGGATTCTTCCGCCCTAAGTGCAGGACTCTGCACTTGTCCTTGTTGAACCTCATCAGATTTCTTTTGGCCCAATCCTCTAATTTGTCTAGGTCACTCTGGACCCTATCCCTACCCTTCAGCGTATCTACCTCTCCCCCCAGCTTAGTGTCATCTGTGAACTTGCTGAAGGTGCAATTCATCCTATCATCCAGATCATTAACAAAGCTGTTGAACAAAACTGGCTCCCGGATCAACCCCTGGGGCACTTCACTTGATACCGGCTGCCAACTAGACATCGAGCCATTGATCACTACCCGTAGAGCCCAACAATCTAGCCAGCTTTCTATCCACCTTATAATTCATTCATCCAATCCATATTTTTTTATCTTGCTGGCAAAAATACGGTGGGAGAGCATATCAAAAGCTTTGCTAAAGTCAAGATATATCACATCCACCGCTTTCCCCATATCCACAGAGCCAGTTATCTCATCACAGAAGGCAATCAGGTAGGTCAGGCATGACTTGCCCTTGGTGAATCTATGTTGACTGTTCCTGATCACCTTCCTCTCTTTTGATTTTTATCTTGGAAAAAGACATCCCTTTCCCTCAAATATCTTCCAGATTATGTTACTTTACAATGAAGTGCTCGTTAATATGTCATACACTACCATGCAAGCCTGATTCAAGCAAAAATCTGTCAATAATTTTGTGTCACCATTCACCCTAGAACATTAGGCCCATGAAACAGCAGCACCGTGAGACAAGCTCTGACATAAAATGTGTTACATCTCCCAGATCATTCCTAGAAGGTGAGGAATATCTCTGGTGCAAAGACTCAGACTACAAGTGCTGGTGTTGTGTTTAAATTACAGAAAGGAAGTAGGTTTCAGAGTGGTAGAGTCTGTGTCAGCAAAAACAACGAGAAGTCCTTGTGGCACCTTAGAGACTAACACATTTATTTGGGCATAAGCTTTTGTGGGCTAAAACCCACTTCATCAGATGCATGGAGTGGAAAATGCAGTAGAGAGATATAAATACACAGCATATGAAAAGATGGGAGTTACCTTACCAAGTGGGGGGTCAGTGCTAATGAGCCAACTCAGTTAAGGTGAAAGTGGGCTATTCTCACCTTCACTGAATTGGCTCATTAGCCATGACCCCCACTTGGTAAGGCAACTCCCATCTTTTCATATGCTGTGTATTTAATCATAGAATCATAGAATATCAGGGTTGGAAGGGACCTCAGGAGGTCATCTAGTCCAACCCCCTGCTCAAAAGCAGGACCCATCCCCAATTAAATCATCCCAGCCAGGGCTTTGTCAAGCCTGACCTTAAAAACTTCTAAGGAAGGAGATTCCACCACCTCCCTAGGCAACGCATTCCAGTGTTTCACCACCTCCTAGTGAAAAAGTTTTTCCTAATATCCAACCTAAACCTCCCTACCGCTCTACTGTATTTTCCACTCCATTCATCTGATGAAGTGGGTTTTAGCCCAAGAAAGCTTATGCCCAAATAAATTTGTTAGTCTCTAAGATGCCACAAGGACCCCTCATCATTTTTTTTTAGAAAGGAAGTAGCATTCTCAGAATAAGAACCTAAATAGAACAGAATAGAATGGAATAGTTTAACACTGAGAACATGAACTAGATGTTCTCCTCTGAAGATTTCTTGTCAAATGTGACTGTCTGGATCACAAGTGAGGACTAGTTTGCAGTGACAGAGCTGTGTATATGTGTGAGCAGGAGTAAAAGGCATCAGCAGATCTGTAGGAGGGAGTGGGAGGAGATGCTGCAGGGCTGGATTGAGGGGCATCAACTGCGTCAGAATAGCAGGGGGAGCTGCGTGTCCATCTCATCGTGATGTCCCCATGAATTGCATAGTTTTGAGGCTGCTGCTCCCTTTCAGCAGATCAGATTTGTTTCCATTCCTGTGCCAATACAATCCCCCTCTCTGTTTCCGATATTCTGGTTGTCAGACATGGTTCTCAGATCTATGGTGATAAATTTAACTGGGCAAAGAGTGGCTGGATAGGAATTCCTACTTCGTCAATTTTGATGGGACTAATGGAAAGCAACTGGGCCTTGCTGGTGCCCCGGTCAGGCAAAGACATTTATTGGGATAACTGTACTCTCTGAGACACGAGAGCCTGTCGCAGCAGCTCTTGATGCCAGGACATTGAGCTTTGTGAAACAGGAGTTTGATCTTGACTGTGGCTGCTGTTAAACTGTCTCGGAGAAAATAGAAGTCACAAATGAGAATGTTTTATTTTAAAGTCACAGAAGCCAGTGCATAAAGCAAAAAAAAAAACAAAAAAAAACCACCCAAACAAAAAAAAACAAGGGAGGGCTTTATTTTCCAGCATTTGCTGTTTATGAAGGCTGTTGGTCTATCTGCACTGACTCCAGGGCTCACAGACTGCCCCAGGTGAAAGAGGACACAGGAAAAAACATTAGCCCATTGAGTTACATAGGTACTATCCACAACCAGAGGAAGCACTGAGATGAAGAGACCCTGAGAAGTCATTACAATGCCTATATAAGCCTGAAGAAGAGCAGTAAACACAGGTCTCCTTTAAACATCAAATACTAGAGATGGGCCTTTGCATGGTTAAAACAAAGTACTTTGGGTTACAATTAGCACGAAAAGTGCTATACAAGGTGGACCTGTATTGTACTGTAAGGCTGTGAGTAATTTCTCAGAAGTGATGGAAATGTACAGTATCAGCAAATGCTCATAATTTTCCAGTTGCTCCTACACACAAACCCATCTGCAGCAGCATGTCTATGCACAAACAGACCTAGACTGGGATTTGAGTGATTGGTATATGAGACAGATAGGCTTACTCCTGGAAACTAGAGGTGGAAAAGGCATACCAATACAGGGTCATCTAGGCCAATGGCCTCTTACCAGGGAGTGGAGGAATTTCTCCAACTGTATATTTACGCTTGGTATGAAGTCTCCATAGGCTGAAGTTGGGGTGTAGTAAGCAGGAATGTTCTTGTTCCTCGCAGGAATCCTAGCACCTGTATGAGTCCCACTTTCTGTACTAAACTCTGCAAATCTTTACCCTTTCCAGCCTACCTGGTTTCTTTAGGCCCAGATCTATGCTTTGGATCCAGGCAGCTGTGTCATGCAGAAGCTTCTGGAGACTCTCTTCATCCACCTGCAGCAAGATGTTCTCTGGCTTGATGTCTGTGTGGATAATCCGACAATTGGTATGCAGGAACTGCAGCCCTGCCAGTACCTGTATGAACCACAGACGGTGATTAACAATCAGGAATGCAGAGACCACTCCTAGGAGCAGCTTTAGGTGATGTCACAAAAGAAAGAGTCCAACATAATAGACTTGGTGTTTCACACAGATTCTGATGTTTATGAAGAATGAGACACAGATGACATGGAAAATTCTGAAGGAGGCCATCCCAATATAGGGAATCCCATGCATCTGCTTGGAGTCAGCATCCGTGACAGGGTGCTGAGTGAGAAGGATTTACTCAGCCCCTGTCACTCCAGCCTCAATCAAGGGGAATGGATTGGGGCTGGGTGAATAGCCCGGTGTCTACCTGGTAATAGGCAGTACCTGCCAGCCTCATTAGCCAGGGCTATAAAGGCTGGGAGGAAGCTGGAGGGAGGAAGGTAGGTAGGTGGGGGGAGGCCCAGGCCCAGGCCCAGGCCTGGGCCCGGCCAGGCACAGCACAGCACAGCACAGAGGGAGGTGGGAGTCTTCTGGTTTGTTGCTGGCCAGGCCTGCAGTTGGCTGCAAAACCTGTACTTGGTGGAAAGTGGTGGCAGGAAAACAAGTGGAAATAAAGAACACTGGTGTTGCATCAAGTTGAGGTGTTCCTGACTGACTGGAGAGGGCAACAGGGGCCGAAACCAGAGGGGCCCAACATGCACCTTGCTATACCTGGGGGCTTGTCCAAGATCTGAAGCCAGCACAAAAACTTGGTGGCTCAGAGATGGAGGGAACCCTGCAGTGGCTAGCAAAGCAACAGGAGAAGATGCGGAAGGCACTGCAAGCCTTCCAGCAATCCCACCAGCTAGAGAGGCAGGCCTTACTTACCTGGCAGGCGGAGCAACAGAAAACTCTCCAGGACTTTATAAAGGAGCAGGTCAGTGTGCAGCAGCAGCTCCTACAAAGACTGGTGAATCCCCTGTGAGGTGAGGGCACCCGTGCAACCGTGTTAGGCCTATGTAAGATGGCAGATGACCCAGACACCTTTCTTTGTAGCTTTGAGTGGGTAGCCATGGGTGCCAGATGGGATAGGGCAACCTGGGCCCTACAACTGGCTCACTATGTGGCCGGCAAGGCTCAAGCCACCTATATGCCACTGAGCAACGACCAGGCCAAGGACTATGAGGTGGTGAAGGCAGCCGTCCTAGACCGCATAGGGCTGTCAGCAGAGAAATACTGGCAGAAGTTTGTCTTACCTTACCTACCTTGACTGGCTAGAGGGGTATTATGGGAGCAAGTGGTGTGATACAACTAATGGTTTCATCATAGGACCTAGAAAGAAAGAGGTGACGTCTGAGCTACTTGGATTTAGCATAGTGAGAAATGGGGAACTCCCACATTGCACTAGTACGAAGAAAGTAGATTTTGGGGAACCAAGTAGCAAGGTGCAATGGAAGGAAGTATTACAATCCACTCATAAGAAAGTGACTGGGGACACTATAATTAAGGTGCAAAAGGTTATAATTTGACCAGGAAAAATGTAAGCAACAAGACATGGCTTTTCATGAACTGGCTCAGATTTGTGATCACTAATTATCATGCTGACCAACATCATCTCATTGTTTCTCGGTCTCTCTACCCTCACCCACAACTGTTTGTTGCATCAATCTGTTGTCTGTAATCTTACACTTAGATTGTAAGCTTTTTGAGACAGGGACTTTCTCTTTGTTATATAGGTTTTTACAGTACCTAGCACAAAGGGGCCTTGGTCTCTAGGCACTACCATATTACAAATAAGTAGAAATAAAACCTGCAATGGTATTGGGGAGAGACCCAAACAAGAATATATAGAGTTAGTTAAAGTGTGTAGGGAAAAGAGAAGGACAACGGTTCATCGCTGCAGGAAAAGGATACCTTGTTATGGAGCACGGAAAGTCTGAAGAGTCAAGAATTTAGGGACTTAACTGTTTGGGAAGAAAACATACTCTACACATGGAGAATAACCCACTAATGAACATTGATTAGTAAATGAAGGTTTTAACAGACTCACTGATACTCACAAGACATTGTTTCTGAGTTAGCCAAATATAATATCAGTAGCAGCAGAATGGCTACTGAAAAGTCCTGTTTTACACTCTGTTAAGTCACATGTTGACAGATTTTCTTAACACTTTCAAAATAAACCACTTTCTGGGCTGCACATCAAATAAGGAGAAATTTCAGCCTCAAAGATAATTTGTGGGGGGGAAGAGTACCTAACCCACTTCAAATGGAGGGAACAGAAGGAAAATGCCACCTCAGCAGTCCCTAACTCTAGTAATAAGAATTATTGTTTGCTTAGCACTTTAAAGACCGGTATGAAGACAAAGGTTCCTGTCTCAAGATCTTAAGTAGACAAAGGATGGAGGAAGGGATACAATAAGAAGCAACGTTTGAGTGAAGTTGAGCACACAGCTTGTTAGTTCCAAGATGTTCAGATGAATTTTCCCATGGGAGCAGGAGTTAATTCAGAGTAAGATGGCCTCTTAATTCCCACCCATAGAGGGTTTCAGATGCTATTTGAGAAACAGGCTAAAGGAGGAAGAGTCCATTTCATCTATACCAAGCCTCTGGAGGAGGCTGGGGTGCTTAGGTAGCAAATGTTCCTCTGACATCTTGACAAGTGGATCACAGAAAAACTCAAGAGTTCTGAGATGTACCATGTGGTTGTAACTGAACTTTGAGATCTGTTAGCCTTTTCCATTCCCTAGCAGTTCATGGACACTGTGTAAGAAACATCGTTTCTGGCATGTTTGTTTAAGTAAAATACCAAGACTATGTGGAGGATGGAGAAAGATTGTGGTTCTGATCAGAGCATGGGGGATTACTCCCTGAATGAAAATATCATTCAGCCATGGCACTTGCTGCAGCCCAGGCCTCTGGTCGTGTTGTGTGGAAGGAAAGAGAGAGCTATGAAGCAAAGTGCTAGCAATTTGTAATACCATGAAGAAAGCTATATAGACAAACCTCACAGTCAAACTGGAGCCAACTCAGGACTGCTTAACTAAGTGGTCTCCATGTGTATGTTGCTTTCAGTGCTGGCTATGACTGCACACTGAAGTCAGCTTGTCAACAGCAGATTTTTAATTGTGGAGGGAGGAAAAAAAAATTTTCTATGATGTTGTCAAAGCTACAGCAGCCAGATGGAGGTTCTTATGTCAACAGACGGTATGGATGACAGGCAGGTTTGTTTCATGTGTCCCTGTGGGCAGCAGATTAATTTTCAAGAGTTGCTCAGTGAAGTAACACTCCATAATACTGACTATTCTGAGCTGAACCAACTTTCTAAATATGTCACTTTGCAACCTGCAACCTCAACAATATCAGTAGTGACAGGTTTCAGAGTAACAGCCGTGTTAGTCTGTATTCACAAAAAGAAAAGGAGTACTTGTGGCACCTTAGAGACTAACCAATTTATTTGAGCATAAGCTTTCGTGACAAAAGCTTATGCTCAAATAAATTGGTTAGTCTCTAAGGTGCCACAAGTACTCCTTTTTCTTTTTGCGAATATCAGTAGTGAATTTCCCAGGCACTGGTCTACAAAAGACCACTGAAATCTGAATAAGCAGCTCTTTTAAAATTCCAGTAAAATTAGGGGTTAGGCCAGGCTAGGCAACCCAAAAGGTCACGTAAGGACATTGATTCTTTTCACCGTATGCATTTTAATGTTAGGTACTGCCACACAATTCAGGTTAAAACATATACTTGTATTTCCTGTTAGCTAACAGCTTTTTAGTTATTTCATCATTTTGGTATTTTTGTTAACTAATTTTGTAATGTCTTAAAAATATCTTGGATTTTTATTGACTTTTCATAGCAAAAAGTCCTGATGCGTTTGACAAATAAATCTAGACAGAGCTTATTTCTGCCACTGAAGTGCAGGCACCTCTGGAGCAAGACGAGGAAGTTGTTTTGTCATGCACAGTAACAGCACACATCAGTTTAATACATAAAGAAGTGCCTCAGTAGTGCCTCTGGGTCTGTTTCTGCAACCTGAGGCTGCTTTGTTCGAGCTCTGGTGGGCGGATATGGCTGTACCGGTTTGGAAGACTCACAACTGGTCCTGCTAGCCCAAGAGATGAGACCTGGGCACAGCTTTTGCTCTGTTTGTTCTTCCTTGGATTTATGTCACATTTTTACTTTTTGTTTTCTTCCCTGAAGGGACGACGGGCCAGTACTTCCTTGTAACAGGTTTGACCCCTTTGGTCTGTTCCTCTGTGGGTTTATTTTAATCACACTGGAATAAACTACAGACAAACCCAACCAGTATATTGTTAGCTATGCCAGTCCTCTTCACTGGAAGATAAAAACATACTAGCCTAAGATGTGCATGTGAGAGGGCAGGTGTGTAATTGGGTAGGGAAATGATCTCCATCTCACCAGAATTGTATTTAAATTTGGGACAAAACCACATTTGGATTTTATGCTTTAGTAAAATAATCCTGAGTGTTCTAAAAGGTTCCTCCACTGCACACCCAACCTGCCCAGCTATCTTCTCTACCCCCGGCCTCCCCCACCCCGCTCCCTGTGTCCTCACGCTTCCAGTGCTCCGAGCTCTCACCTGCTGTAGGACTTTTTTCACAAAGGGCAAGGGGAGACCCTGGGCTCCATGGCTCCTCATCAGACATCGCAGAGAAGGGCCCAGCAACTCAAATACCAAGCACACATGTAGGAAAGTCAGGGATTCACTGAGAGAGAGAGAATGCTATCCCCACTCACTTTGATGTTAACTAGACAAGCCACAGCCAACCCCTCCCTCCCAGCTGCCATCCTACGCCCCACTCCCCAGGCTGGCCCCTGACTCCCACTCCCAGTGCCATCCTATGCCCCCCAGACTGGCCCCCGCTCTCAGCTGCCATCCTATGTCCCCTCAGCTAGTCCTTCGCTCCCACACCCAGTCCCCATCCCACAACCCCCCCTCCCCCAGTCCAGCCCCTCTCTTCCACTCCCAGCTGCCATTCTACATACCCCAGGCTGGCCCCTTGCTCCCAATTCCAGGCCCATCCCTCCCACACGGACACAGCCAGTCTTTTCAACAGCATAGCATTCTGTCTGGCTGATGGCATTGCAAACAGAGAAAGCCACTATTCTTAGCTGAAGGATATGGAAGCCATTTGCTCCAATCATTTTAAAGTCATCTAAACAATGGATAATATTCTTCCCTGCCCGGTCCTTCTTCTTCATGCTGCTCACCTGAGAGTGGTCAAAAAAAAAACAACCCTCTTATTTAGTGGAATACATGTATCGGGTCTCTCTCTCACTCTCTGCATTTTTATCCTGCCATCCACCACCATAATATCTGAGCCTCTTCCATGTAAAAATCTATATCAAGGTCCCTAGAGGATTCTATAGTAAGTCTCTCCACTTTTTTGAGGCTAATAGCTCTGCTTGGGGTATTTTGTTTGTGGATGGTTGCTTAATTTGGATGCTTTCATGTATGTTCTTTTGGTGAAACCCAACAATGAGAGAATTGAACAAACCCAACTCCAATTACATTAGCGGAGTCCGATCCCTGATGGTGAATTTCCTCATAATTATCCAGCTGTATCCCAGGTGAAGGGTAGACACAATTCCCCATAAATAGCCTAGCTGTCTGATCAGCTCAGATATTTCCTGACAATCCCCCTCTGGGGTACTTACCACCACTAAAGCCATCACAACTGACTCCCTTCCAAGGGTATTTCCCACATATATGGAAAGGTTGTTTTTCCACATGACCACAGCTTATCATGCTCATCAGAATTGTCTCATTATTTCCTTGTTTGTGTACCCCCATCCAGTTGTTCTCTCTTGGCTTATGTTTATATTGTAAGCTCGTTGGGGCAGGGACCATCTCTTTGTTGTTTGTTTGTACAGCACCTAGCACAATGAGGATGAGATATCTAGAAACTACTGCAGTGCAGGTAACAAATAATAAAAATGGTATCACTTCAAGAACCTGAAGATTAGAATTTTTGGCCCATCATCTGGGTATAACAAATTCTGTTAGTCCAGTGAAAAATATGTCAGCATGTTGGCATGTTTCCTTTTAGAAACTTATAGCTCCCCTAAATATTTTCTTGTAATTAGAGCTGTTGCGCGATTAAAAAGATGACTAGAATACCATTTATTTAATTTTTTTTTGTTGTCCACATTTTCAAATATATTGATTTCAATTACAACACAGAATACAAAGTGTACAGTAGCTCACTTTCTATTTATTTTTGATTACAAATATTTGCACTGTAAAAAAGTATTTCATTTCACCTAATACAAGCACCGTGGGGCAATCTCTTCATCATGAAAGTTTAATTTACAAATGTAGAATTATGTACAAAAAACCCTGCATTCAAAAATAAAACAATGTAAAACTTTAGAGCCTACCAAGTCCACTCAGTCCTACTTCTTGTTCAGCCAATCGCTAAAAGAAACAAATTTGTTTACATTTATGGGAGATAATGCTGCCTGCTTCTTGTTTACAATAGCACCTGAAAGTGAGAACAGGCGTTTGCATGGCACTGTGGTAGCTGGTGTCGCAAGATATTTACAGGCCAGATGTGCTAAAGATTCATATGTCCCTTCATGCTTCAACCACCATTCAGAGGTCATGCGCCCATGCTGATGACGGGTTCTGCTTGATAACAATCCAGAGCAGTGTGGACCAATGCATGTTCATTTTCATCAACTGAGTCAAATGTCACCAGCACAAGGTTGATTTTCGTTTTTGGTGATTTAGGTTCTGTAGTTTCTGCATCAGAGTGTTGCTATTTTAAGACTTCTGAAAGCATGCGCCACACCTCATCCCTCTCAGAATTTGGAAAGCACTTCAAATTCTTAAATCTTGGGTTGAGTGCTGTAGCTATCTTTAGAGATTTTACATTGGTATCTTCTTTGCATTTTGTCAGACTTGCCATGGAAGTGTTCTTAAAACGAACAACATGTGCTGGGTCATCATCTGAGACTGCTATAATATGAAATATATGGCAGAATGCGGGTAAAACAGAGCCGGAGACATACAATTCTCCCCCAAGGAGTTCAGTCACAAATTTAATTAACGCATTATTCTTTTAATGAGCGTCATCAGCATGGAAGCATGTCCTCTGGAACGATGGCTGAACCATAAAGGGACATATGAATCTTTAGTGTACCTGGCATGTAAATATCTTGCGACACCGGCTACCACAGTGCCATGCAAACGCCTGTTCTCACTTTCAGGTGCTATTGTAAACAAGAAGCAGGCAGCATTATCTCCCATAAATGTAAACAAATTTGTTTCTTTTAGCAATTGGCTGAACAAGAAGTAGGACTGAGTGGACTTGGTAGGCTCTAAAGTTTTACATTGTTTTGTTTTTGAGTGCAGTTATGTAACAAAAACCCCTACACATTTGTACGTTGTACTTTCATGATAAAGAGATTGCATGACAGTACTTGTAAGAGGTGAATTGAAAAATACTATTTCTTTTATCATTTTTACAATGCAAATATTTGTAATAAAAATAATATAAAATGAGCACTGTAAACTTTGTATTCTGTGGTGTAACTGAAATTGATATTTAAAAATGTAGAAAAACATCAAAAAATTTAATACATTTCAATTGGTATTCTATATTTTAACAGTGCAATTAATCACGATTAATTTTTTTGAGTTAATCGCGTGAGTTCACTGCGATTAATTGACAGCCCTACTTGTAACATCTCTCAGACCTAGTACTGGAGAATTATGGTCTGCTACGCTGCTAAATAGAAAGGGATTTCAAACAAAACTATTTCTAAGTTAAGACTAAGACCAGGTCTACAAACAAAGTTATATCAATATACCTAAAGGGGCGATTTTATACCAATATAATTAAGTTGTTGCAACTTTGTGGGTGGACTCATATCACTATAAACCTGTCTTATATCAGCTTAACTCTAGGCCTGTAAATTTACCAGCCCAAACTAAACCAATACCATAAAGTCCAGACAAAAAGTTGCACTGGTTTAACTAAGCCAATTTAAATTAACTGGTGCAACTTCTGAACGTAGACAAGTCCTAAGACTTGTCACCACCACCACAGACCTAAACGTTCAGGTTATCTTCAGGAACAATTAGTGACATCACTAATAGGTGCAACTTTAATGGATGAGATATGCATGAGCACACAAAGAAACTCAGGCTACATGCTTAGTGTCTTGTTATACTTTTTGCTGCATTATACACTTTTTGCAAAAGTTATAAATTATTTGTATTGCCATAGTGCCTAGGAGACCATTGTGCTAGGTACTGTACAAACACAGAATACCCCCCTTCCCAGACGAGCTTTTCATTTAAAGACAATGACCCAGATCTTCCATTTAGGCACCTAAATACCTTTGACGAGCTGGAGCAATGTTTCCACCTTTTCCTGTTGCAAAGGTGGAGATCCTCCACCCTGAGGCTCTCCCTCGGTTTGTTTTATTGGATATCTAGAGCAGCTTGCAGGAATGAGGCCAGAGTGGAACAGCTCAGCTCACCCTGTGAATAGTGAGAGTAAAGACTACGGGATGGAGGAAGAGGAAGCACCAGGAGGAGAACCACCACCAAGATACTCAACAACTCAGGATAATTAGTGTTCTAGTGCACTGAGAGATGGTCTGTGTTTCCGGCAGCACCCAGCGTAAAGGATGGTTACTTACTGGTATTGTAACTGTTGTTCTTTGAGACATGCGTGCAGATGTATTTTCCATTCAAGTGACTCACAAGCAGTTCTCATAGGAGGTGGGGCTCACAATCTGCCTAAGCAGTGACTGCAGGATTGCCTTCCTAAAGTTTGCATCCTCCATGAACTTATCTAATTCTTTTTATAACCCAGTTATACTTTTGGCATTCAGATCATCAACCGCTCGCAATGAATTCCACAGGTTGATTTTTGTATTGTGTGAAGAAGTACTTCCATGTTTGTTTTAAACCTGCTACCTATTAATTTCATCGGGTACAACACTTCCTTGTTCACTTTCTCCACCCCAGTCCCGATTTTAATAGACCTCTTTCATATCCCCCTCAGTCATTTCTTTTACAAGCTGAACAGTCCAGGTCTTTTTAATCTCTCCTCATATGGAAGTTGTTTCACACCCCTGATAATTTTTATTGCTCTTCTCTGTACTTTTTCCAATTCTAATGTATCTTTCTTGAGATGTTGCGAACTGCACTCAGTATTCAGGGTATGGACGCACCATGAATTTATATAGCAGCATTATTATATTTTCTGTCTTATTATCTCTCTCTTTCTGAATGGTTCCTAACATTCTCTTAGATGTAGTGTGAATTGGGAAAACATGTTCTTTGAACTTGTCTCTCACTAACCAATAGTCCAGGTTCAGGAAAATATTAATTCCTCTTTTTCTGAGGTATGCTCACTCTACAGTCAGTCATGTGTTTTTTAAAAATGTGAGGTGCTGAAAGGAAGCACAGTGTACTGATAGTGTTACCCCACCATACCAAATCTCAGAAATTTCCTGTGGCTCAGGAAAATTGCCATATGGAAATAAGCATCCTGAAGGCTCAGGGCAGCAAATCAATCATTGTGGTTCAATGCAGGAAGGATAGTTGCTAGGGTGACCATATGGATTCCAACGTATCTAGTGTATTTGCTGAAGCTGCAGAGGTCAATAATAGGTCTCATCACTGCTTTGAATTTGAGGACCAGGAAATACCAGGAACAGAACCCCTTTTTCTGATGCTGTAGAACCTCCTCTATAGCTCCATGTGCAATCAGACTCTGGACCTGCTGCAGGAGCAGTGACTCATGAGAGGGGTCCCTGCAGAGGGATGGGGTAGAGGGCAATGGCCAGGAATTATGGCATGACCCGATCACATGGTACTTAGGACCCCTTTATCTATGGTAACCACATCCCAAGCACTGTAAAAGTGAGACAGCCGGTCTCTGAACTGAGGAGACGTAGATGCGGAGGTCACAACTAGAATGCTGCCCTGGACAGGCAAGTCAAAATATAGGCTTGCTGGACACTGGAGCAGGACTATCTAGTTGGTTGAAATTCCATCCAGAAGACCTCCTCCTCTGTGATCTTATGACCCTCCTTGGAAAAATCTGCGGTTTCTCAGAAAAGGATGAATGGCAGCAAAAATGCTGAGAGTAGCATTGCTACTCCCTCCCCTAGTGGTGCCTCTTTGTGGCTGGGGTATAAATATCCAAGGAATGCGAAGTAGCCCCGGGCTACTTAAACAAATGTCAAGT